TTCCAAATTCCCACGTGCTTTAATATTAATCTATTTTCATCAATGTGACCTGCCCCAGCAGTAACATTTGTTTGTAATTGGGCATGTAATGTTTGCTGAAGAGGCAGAAAAACTAAATTAAATTTATCCAAGATTTTTAAAAATCTTATTCTGAGAAAAATGAGGGATTTATTAGAAAATATAAAGACACTTGACAATATTGGGGTAATATGTCACAAACCTGAATAGTCAATAAAGAAATTATGGTAGCAGAACTCTTTCATTTTGCTTCTACAAAGTAGAATTTTTTTTCTTTGAAATACAGCTTTTAATTTTGTATTATATGTTAATAAATGTTTATGCGTGGGTTATGGCAGCAATTTCAGACCGAACAACTGGTTATGGCTCTTTGAGAAAAAGCCCTTTTATGTGGGTTGTATATCACAAATTAGAACTATCCCAAATATCTAAAATTAAAGAATGTATATATTTTTAATGGTAACACAAGTAGTCTTCAGACCAAGCCAGAATATCTGGCTGTCAGTTGAGACTTTGAAATTCTGGTTTTCTAATATAGCTTTTTTGTTAAGCCCAAGTGAAAGGCTATTTCATAAAAGAACAGAAGTTACTGGATTATTTAGTTAGAATGGTTGTTACTAATGACTAATTACTTGCATTTTTAGAGCAATCAATAATATTTTGTTGTTTTTCTCACAAAATTGTTTGTAATCAAAGCCATTAAACTATCATTTAAATGGCGAGCCTGCTGTTTGCCCAGAACGCTGGCTCACTACATTACCTTCTATAAATAAGTTTATTATTTTAGATGAAAGTTATAAAGCAATCTGTTTACCTCCACTGAAGTAAGTAGAATAGCTGAAAACATTGGTAAAAAAGGGATGAAGAGGAGCATTGGAGCAAAATAAAATCCTCCAAGTGTTCTTTATGCTTATTTATTATTTTAAACAAGAACAACTTCTCTGTGGTTTTGTGGTCTTAAGAAAACTGGAAGGAGGAAAAGTGCTATTTCACTCTTCAGTTGACTGAAATGTAGTATTTTCCTTGTTTAAAATACTGATTCTCCATGATTGTCCTGAGATGTTTTTGGAAGCACATAGAACTGAATGGAGAAAAAATATGAAAAAATACAGAAACTTAACTGTGTGGAGAGAATAAAAGCATTAGCATGAAATCTGCTCTCCTTTAGAAACACATATTGTTTAGAAACAGAGACCTCAGTGCCACATATGCTGAAAATGTGGTCTAAGAGCTTTAATTTACCTTTGTCTGTCAATGTTAATGGACAGAGCAAGTGCTGGAGTTGTTGTAAAACAAATCTGTTTTCCTTTTGTCTGCTTTGCCAGATAATGAAATAAAAGCTAAATTATCACTGATAAAAGTAATTTGCAGAAAAGCATTGATAAAAATATAACAGAGCTTGCCATTAGCAGTTTAAATGGATAATGTTTACTTATAACCTACTTCTGTCCTCTGGTTTTTATTGTCTTCTCCCCTTTCCTGAGAGAGGAAGGGCCCTTTCGGTAGAGGCTTCAGGCAATAAAATTATGGGTATACTAAATCCTGGCATTGCTAAGTTTCTGAGGGATAAGTCCTTCTTTTTCCTCTTCTTTTTCTGTACTACAGTATTGCCAGTCAAAGTTTGTGCACAGTTTTAAGTGCACTTACTTATCCATCCCACCTTGAGGAATGTGTCTGCTAATGATGAAAACTGAGAAAGTTATTTCTGTCATTGCAGCACTGGTAGCTCCTACCATGAATTACACAAAGCATTTACTATGAAGGTCTTCATTCCTCATGTTCAGGTGTGAGACATACTTTCTTTTCTGTCTCTCTGTATGTCTGTGTCTTTTTTTTATTTTTTTAAAATTTAATATTTTAAATTTGAAGCTGTGTCCCAGTTGCTCACAAAAATTCAGGAATGGGAAGGCAAAGACTACTGAGCCCCATGTTTGTGTGTTCATACTGATTCTAATGTGTACATATATGAATGTGCCCACACATCTACAAACATTTAAATTTTACCATTTTCTTCTAAACCAGACTTACTTCTCATCATTTCTTAAATGCTTGGACTTCTTTTTACGTTGACAATGGGTAGCCAGTGTCCAGGGTAAAACATTAGCCATAGGGTATATGAAGGATGTCTTGCAAAAGCTGGACATGCTCACTGGTGCATTTGCAGTTTGTAAAAGTATTTATTTAAAGACATTGAATTCTGAGTGACCAAATAGGGAACCACTGCTAAACTTTAAAATACTTCAAGTACTGCAGCTATAGTTGCAGCCTGAGCACTGCTGTTAAGTGCTTGCCAGTTTGCAAATGTCAAGGACAGTTACCCTCTCACATTCCTAAATTACTTGCTCCTGACCATCCTTTAAAATACCTGCCCTTTCTCCAACTTCTTCTCCAGCTATTGCTGCCAATTTCTGTTTCACTGTGTGACTTCAAGGACTGTAATCCGTGGGAAGGCTAGGTCTTGTTGGTCCACACAGTCTGTAAAGAATTCCCTCTTCTTATCCTAAAAACTAAGACAATGTCACCTGAAAAGGTGGGGAAAGTCTTTTCCTCTGTGTAGCTGTGCAGATTATTAGCTAGAGCACACAGTCTTGCTGGTCTTGGTCAGATAATTCCTTACAAGCCCAGGATAATACAATGTGCAAAGGTACTGTTGTTTTAATATTTTATTATGCAGTAATGACTTGATATATTCATGTCTAATGTAGGAGAAAATATCACATGTACTTTCTAAAGTACTTTCATCTGACAAAAACCTTTGTGTTAATCTTGTAAGCAATATGGGTCTGTATTGTACTGTAGCACCTTAGCATTTATTGTGGCTGATGCTGTTTTTAGAAATCTATAATGTTATAATACTTTGAGCATTGCTTCTGTATTATGCCCATTCTGTGGGTAATCCTTTATTCCCTCTGAAGCTTCAAAGTGTTTAGAAAAAAGGGTAGTGTGCTATTAAAAATGTGTTTATGGCAGAACAAGTAACTGAATTATTTTTTGTCAATACTGGTCAAATACATTAAAGTTGTCTTCAAAGGTGAATTAGTGGCATAATATTTAGATAGCAATACAATGGAGTAATAACAATGCCATACTGTAAGAAACCGTACATTCTAGTTGACTGATATAAATGCAAATTTAGGGCAATAACCTGAAGGTATGGTGGCAGAGGTCTGTTTGCAGTGTAGAGCGACAAGCAGGCAGGATGTGCTGCACAAGGTGATTTCGTTCATGGTATGTTCAACAGAACTTCAATGAAGTTAAACTTTGAGTAACATCAAAGCTGTATTACCATAGCTGGATAACAAAGCAGGGCAATGTGTTGGCACTGTGTTTACACCTGAGAGAGAACAAAATGGAGTAGCAAAATGGAGGGAGTGTGAATGCCAACGTACAAGTAGATATAGGGGAAAGTCTGCTGTTTGTCATATTTACTTACTTATTTGTGATCTTGTAGGTATGATTGGATGTTGAACAAAGCAGTTTCATGGCAGAAAATGGTCCCCAGTTCCCTGATGACAGAGTGAAATAGAGAGGTAACTTCCAGAACTAGTGAAACAGCAGCATGAAAGGAAATAGGAATACAACACCTGTGGTGAAAACTCAGTGTAAAATACAGATAGAGATGCAGAATTAAATCCTCAGGACAGCTAGTCTTGACTTAAATTCTATTTTGAACTTCAAATTCACCTTCAGGGAGGAGGATGCAAGGGCTCAACTCCTCCTGGCCTGTGATGTGAGTGCCAGAAGCACACTAGAAAATGAGCCAATTTAGGTAATTTAGGTGAGCAGTTGGACCAGGGATAAAGCATGTAAGATCGGAGATACTTGGGCAGACAGCCATGAAAAGAAGTTTACTCAGGCCAAATTGGAAAAGACTTTTCAAAAAATGAAATGGACGCTGCTTCACAGGACAGGTGTTCTCACTAGGGGGGCACTTAACTTTCTGAGGAGGGCTGGCAGTGGCCTTGCATGTGCAAGTGAGCCCCTTGCATGGGGCTTTCTTGTCAGCAGAAACATGGGAAAAAATACTTAAGCATACAGAAAATAGATCCTGACATAAAGTTTATTCTAGTTTTAGTTTTTTGTGTCGTGGGGTTGGTTTGGTGGGGGTTTTTTTTGAGGGCTGAGTTGTATCTGCACAGTTGCAGTCGTATATTTGTATGAAGGTACTGCTTAATAAAGGTACATTTTCATCTTCCCTTTAAAGTTTTTATGCAGTATATTTGCCTCTTCTTTACTAGATCCCTGTGGGAATAAGAAGCGTATCTTTCTTGATGAAGCTACTGTGCAGGCTAAGCTCTTTTGTTCGTAAAAAGCATTATTCATGGAGTTAAACAGAATTAATCTTTGTCCACCTGACAGTTCTCAAAGCCTGGTTAATTAAGATGATCAGTGCTTGCATAACTAGGACTTAACAAAGTCCAGATGTTCCTGTATTTCAGGCACACCTGCACCTTTCCCCTTTGTGAAGCAAGACACTTAGGGTGAAAAGTTCTTGACTCCTCTCTTTATCTAATTCTTGGTCTACACTTGGAAATGTTTTCCATATTCTGAAGTCTTTCTACACTCATGAGATTTTTTTTTTTTTTGGTTGTGTGCTTTCCCTTTCCTCTCCCTAAATCTGCTGACGGCACTCCCAAATCTTTATCCCATTTTCTGAATTGTGTTATCTACTTCCTCCAGAGATGGTTTGATAAAAATCTGGTTTCCAGTTCTCTCCATGTTTCGGGCTTCTATGTGGAAGAAAGAGAACATCATTTACTGAACTTCTGTTTGTGGTCTTTCTTGACTTTTTATATGGTTTTCATTCCAAATGCTCCTCAATATTTTATTTCTTCTTCTCTACTGAAATAGATTTGTATTGAGGCATTAGAAATACTGTATCATAGACTAGTTACAGATTCATTTTCTCATGGCCTCTGGAATTACGTGAAACTCCCATTGTTTTCTATAATAGACTTATAGAAAAAGTTACTTTTTTTTCCTTGCAGAGCCCTTGTTTTGTTTAAACTTTTTCCAAAACTGTTGTTTCTACCTACTTTCTATTTTAAATCTTTATCTCTCTTTCTTGATAGCTAAATAACAGAGCTGATGTGGATATCTAGATGTTCCTACCCATGCTGAACACTCACTGCCTCTTAAGAGCTGATCTGGTGTAAGGAGTGTGGCATGTCCTAGGAGAGCCTGAGAGAAAAGTGTTTCCTGTTTATTGGCATTAAAACAACAAAAGAAAACATAAAACTCACTTTTTGTGAGTTGTGTTCCAACCTCCCATTGGTGCAAGTCAGAATAACTCCATTTAAGTTCGTGTGATGAGGTAATAGGGACAGGTGTGAGGTGATTCCTGCGAGAAACACTTGGGAGGGGAGACCTTGCTTTTGTAGTATCACAGGCTAGTCCTTCATCCTGAACTCTGTTGTGTGCCCCCTGTGTCCTCTTCCTATGTACCACAAGTATTGTTGTTTGGATGGAGTTTCAGATGTTTTTTGCTGTCCCTCCTTTTCTCGGGTCCCCTGTTTGTGCATAGGGATGAGTGTCAGTATTGGATCCCTGCTCTGAGTGGATGTTAGATGGGTCAGACATGGGACATGTCATGTCAAGTATGTTTTTCTTAGTTGCTTTGTTGCTGTTTTGTTTTTAATGCTAAAATGAGGAAGTCAGGAGTTTAATACTTCAAGATGATAATTTAAATAGCTGCAGCTCCCAAAAACATGGGAAAGAAATGTTTTGGGACTGGCTTTGCAAAGCTGTTTTAGTCAACTGTACCTCAGAGAGTATGCTCTATGGCATTCCATCCTTCCCATGTAAACACTAGGGAGGGAGAGGTCACAGAAACAGGCTTTGCAGCTGCTGCCTGTAACCACTCTTTGCTTTTTGCTGGCCAGAGCAATCTGTCTGTAGAAATGTTTGTGCCTGGCCCATCGAGTGCTGATGGTGTGTGACAGTGAGTATGAGTGACAGCAGTGACTCTGGAAGCACCTGAGGAGTGACTTGCTGTGGCTGCTACATGTGGAAGGCAGAAGGGGAAATAGCATTCACCAGAGGCAAACACTGGATTTTCTGGGAACTGGGGTGGGGGAAGTGTTTGTGTGTGTGGGGGGGGCTTTTCTCCTGAAACCCCACAGCTTATCTTGCTTGTTTCTCTGTCTCTCCTCCCCGCTCTGGCCAAAATTGACTTTGTAATTCTTTGCTCTTTCCTGCTTGGCCTGATGTTTTCTCATGTTAAATGCTGGGTTTGAATTTGCACCTAGTTTCTGCATAGAACATAGGAGTGATGCAAGACCTGTTGGTTAGGAGGTTTTGCACAGTATGAACAGAGACTGAAAGTGAAGTGGTATTGGGTTGGTATACCAGTGTCCAAAATAACTTCAGGCCTTCAAAAATAGGCAGTAAGAAATAAATTATAATGGAGAAAAAAGAAAATCTATACAAATATTTTGACAGTGAAGGTGACTGACCAGTAGAGCAAGTTTCTAAATGTTGCAGTAGGTTGGCTTTGGTTCTCCATCCTTGAAAGTTGCTTAAGTTGGTCAGACTGTTGTTTTAAAGAAATGCTCAGATTCAAATTGTATGAATCCTGCAACCTCTGATCTACAGGTTAGACAAGTTGTTGGCATTCTTCATTTCTGGGCTGATGAGGTTTGATGCTGTCATTCATCCTCCCAGAGCTGTTAGCAAGCCAGAGCTTCAGGGAAACAAATCTTCATTCAAGGTTTTAATAAAACCTGCTGTAATCACAATGAACAAAATCCTTGTGTCTGCAGAGGCACAGACCTATGCCCTGCCTCAGTATGAGTTAGAGCTTAATTGAAAATATAGTAAATATAGGAGACCCTCTTTCTTTTTACATCCACTTCTTACGTGGTGTATTGGTTTGGTTCACTGTGTTTTTAGAAAGGTTTTGCCAGGCTTTGTTGGTTAAAGCTAAACAACCTGTTCTCAGCTGTGGTAAACATTTATTGGTAGATAATGAAACTTTATTTAATATCAGTCATGAAAATCACCTGTTTGATTCTTAGTGATCTGAGAGATTGGTTTCCTCTTAAGTGGATAAACTGTGGTTAAAATATTCATCCACACGGGTTTGTCCTGGTAATGGCTGTTGTCTTACAGTCCTTGAAGATTTTTCCCAATGTTTTCAAGTTTTCTTCAAAATCAACAGAAATTGAAGTCCATTATCTGTATGAGGAAATTATAATAAGAACAAAGACGAAAAGATTATGTAGATAATTTTTATATACAGTCATTAATAAAATGGCTTTTAAAATTTTTAAAATGTGTAATAAAATCAGTAGTATGTTCATGAAGTATATTTCTCCAAGGCTTGTTACTTTATAAATGTACCATTGACTAAACACTATGTTAAATAAAGTCATATTTGTACAACTTAGATTGTCTCCATTAGATGTTACTATGCCTTCTCTTTAATTATCACTCATTTTCCATATGCCTTAGTCTTAAATGTATGTCACAATAGCATAAAGCTGTTTCAGTAAAAGAGTTAAATATTTATTCATGTTCTGTATTCCGTACTAAAGGACCTTTCTTTCTACCCCTGTCTATGAAGGGGTAAATATATTTTTATAACTACCCTTGGCCACAGCAGCATGTTCTGTACAAAGGTAGGTAACTGCACTGGCAGACACACACAGTTCAAAGGAATACATTAGCACAAGAAGCGACGTTCCCTTTTGGATTCAGCTTCTATCAACATACATACGTGGTGCTTTCTCTGTGCCTGCGTCAGCCCTCCCCTGCACTTCTGCTGGTGGAGGTACAGCTGTTTCTCAGCCTACCTCAGCTTTGGCCTCTGTACCATCCCAGTTGTGTTTTCTAACAACATAACCATGATTTTTGGCACTGAGCGCAGTTTCTTTTCTTTATTCCCTTAATTTTTCCCTTCTTTTTTTTTTTTTTCCTTTTTCTGAGAAGTAGTTAAGTTTTGGGAAATTATGTAGTTCAGTTGATTAAGTTACACAATTTAGGGAAAGGATGAGAAGAAAAGAAATGTTCTTTTCCAAGAACTGTAAAGAGGTAGGTTTACAAAACAGTGTTGGTAGTTACTGGGATGAGAGCACCCTCACTCCTGACTTGGGAGATGCCATCTGTTTGTGTAACTCTTGTGGCCACTTCTTTGTGTGTACTGATCCAATTGCATGCATTTCAGCATGTGGATGTTGGACATTCTTGTCAGAAATTTGGTTGCTGTATAGTCAGAATCAAAGCAGTGAATATTGAGGTACCACACCCTGACAGATGCACAGTTCTGATAGATCTCCAGGACCTGCCTAGTTGTAATGCATTGTTAAGTAAGCTGACAATTGTGGATGGTATCATATGAAACAAAAAAGTCTTGTTTCTTTTCTGGAAGAATTGAGTTCTTCCTACCTATGTTTTTCATAAACAGAATTTGTAACAGCTGACTTCTGCCCCCTGCCCTCTTGGGGTGATGGGACCATGGTGGAGATGAGAATCAGGCCCAATATATGCATATGTGCCTTGTTTGCTTAAACTTAAGGAGAGCAAAACTCCAGCAGGAATAATGCCAAAATACTGATGCGTTAATTCATAGTTCTGAAGTAAAACCCAGAAAATAGAAAACAAATGTGGCCATGTGAATTTACTTTTGTGTCTGTACATAATTTCTTCCTAGCTTTGCTGGCTTCTCATGTTCATAATATCTTTTTCCTTTTCCCAAAGTAACCATTTTTTTTATTGTAGCTACATAGAGGTTTAAGAGTTAGTAGACAGTAGGAGCAGGGAAGCAATAAAATAAGAAACACCAAAAGAGAAAGACTGCATCCAGTTATTTACTTTGTGTTACAATACAGACTGCCTTTATATCAGTTCCCTTTGAAAGTTAGTGTTTAGTGAGTAATTCAGGGTGATGTGTCAGAGGAGCTAGCGGCCAATTCCCGACAGAACCAAGCCTTAATTTTTAAAATATTTTAAATACTGCAGTTGAGTGTTGAGGGGCCACAACTGTTTCCTCCTCAAGTACTGGAGTTTCGATGTCCCTCCAGCTTCTGCCACAAGCATGGGTGTGGAGAGGCAGGTCAGCAGTGAGAAGACTCCTCAGGACTTTGCCAGGAGCTGAAGGTGTGTGTTTTGGGTTACTGATTGCCCCCAGGTTACATCACTCCAGGATCTGATTTTAGCTGTAAATTTAGAGGAATTGCCTAACTTGGCTGAAGTGACTGTTGCTTTTCTGGCCAGGTAGCTGAAGTAGTCTGAACCTTTGATATTAATCCTTTTACTGTGTAGTTAGGCAAAGAACAAAATTTACCCCAGCTCAAGCTACTAAATTTCAATTTTTATTGACTTAAACTAGTGGCAGACTTTTGAATAATAATGAGGACTCAAAATCACAGCATGCAAAGTTATCACTGTTCCAGTTTAACCCGATGACTTAATTAGGAGGAGAGAGACAATGAAAGAGCTACTGTATAAAATAACAGCCCTCTGAAGAGAAAGCAGGGGCTGAGAATGAGCTGTGTCCTGGGATGTTTGTACTGACAAAACCCACACCCCACAGGGCAAAAAATGTAGCCTGGCCCTCAAAATCTGCACTTGATCATTGTTGCAGGAAGTGGAGGAAGCTGTGTTACAAGAAATGATCAAAATTTAGAGCATCTGTATTGTTACTTTCAGGAATTATTATTCCCTGCTTGCCAAAGAAATGGCTATTTAATCTGTCTTTCTGGATATCCATCATCTTACCATGGATGGCTACAAACTGCCAAGAGATAGAGAAGGAGAAATCACTAACTTCCATTATTAACAAGTGCATGTTAATATGGTTAAAATCCAAAAAGTAAAGAAGGGTCGGCATTATTTAATACAGATTTTATTGCAAGATCTGTTTTCTTAACTTTAGTATTAGAAGATTTGACACTTCAGGAGGACAAAGCATGACTTATTAACAGAAAACAATTTTAGTGAGTGTTTTGAATATTCTCTAAAGGAGACAAAACATTTTCATTTAGAGTTGGCATGTGCCCCCACTGCAGTCTTCAGAGCATCCATCACAGAGACCTCATGCTTGAAACAAGGCAACACAAAGTGGTGAAATTTCTGTTGCGGGTGCTCCCTGCCTTTCTACACAGAACTTACGAGTAAGGGTGCTCTAGTGAGCATCATGAGAGAGCAGCCCAAAACCTCAGGAGAAGGAATTATTTCTGTGTTCCCAAGGCTGGGGCTTCACTTGCTCAATCTTTGCTCACTTGGAAACCTCTCTGACTGTGATGGAGACAAGCCTCTGTGAGACTGCCTTCAAGTTTACAGCTGTCCGCTGGTTCCAGAGACCCATTTAATTATGGATTATTTATTGCTTCTTTCTCTCTGATTGCTGTTTTACCTGAAATATTTTATTAGTTCCAGCTGAAATTGGTAGGGAAAAAACAATACAGCTGAAATGCATTGTAGTGGACTGTATAGCAATTTTTTCAATTGTGTCAATATAGTTACTTTTCAATCCCTATAAATGCTTGTTATCGTGTATTTACTAGCCAATACACTTTTAAATTTCAATTTTGCTCTGAAAATTAGGATGTCTATTTGAGTCAGCTTACATAGAGCGCCTGTAGATGCATAAGAGAAGAAAGGGGATGTGGAGAGGTTTTGGTGGATGGCCTTTTATGTGGCTCTTTTTGATGAAGATTTCTGCATCTTTATGGCTTGCTGGGGGGTTTCAGGGGTTGGAGAACATACAACATATTGATGGGTGGGCTGTTTATTTTCCCTGTGTTGTTTTATGTACTGAAATATTGTAGTGAAAATAGCTGGGTGGGGTGTAACCAATGTTTTCAAAGACCTTCCTTTGAAAGAGGTTTTTTTCCAGGCCTTGGTGGTCACCACCCATTTTCCTGTGCTGTGCAGGCCTCTTTCATTGTTCCTACCCACAAAGGCCCCTTGTGTGAACCTGTCAGCAAATGTGCCAGCATGAGCTAAAATGTCATGAGATAGTGGTCCAAGCCTGCTGAAGCCCCAGGGTTTGCCCCCACAAATGTTGGTAGGTATTGCCCAAGGGACATCACAGAGTTAGATCATAAAACTTGGGATTTGTCAACAATGCTCAGCATGACTCTCTGAACTGTTTACAGTTGAGTGGGTTTGGGGCTGAAGCGTAGATAGGCATACCACTGATAGCAAAGTCATGAGATGGCAATGTTTGTCCCTTAGGCTTGAAATAAAGCTTAATTGAAAAATTGTCCCTGTTTACCTGCAGTTGCTCCTCTTGTTAAATAATGCTATGGGCTGGGGATGTGGTCAGTGCCCCATTGAAAAATGAGCCTGGTTTTGAATTTAACTATGGGCCCACCTCTCTCACCCCCCCCAGACTGCAAATTGCACTTCATTCACCTTTAGCTTTAACCCGCTGGTGAAGAGATAAAGCACATCCTTTCATATGTGTTTTTTAGAGTAGGTAAATAGTTGGGTTATCTGAAAACAGATCTTAGCAATACCTGCTGAGCCTTTGAGAAACAATGTATATGGACCTCTAGATTAGCTGTCAAAATTGACTGATTACTACAAGTAATGCCCCAAGATAAGGATCTGTAATCTCTCAAACACAAATCATTGATAGCCATCTGAGTTGTGCATTGTCATAACCAGCCTCATCCCCACCACTGCAGTGCGATTCCAGGAGAGAAAAGCAGAGTGATACATTTATCACCTACAAAAAACAATTTGCTGATTTTAAAGGAAGTTCAGTTTTGGCCAATGTTGAAACAGTAATTTCTGTTGTGCTGTTTAGAGTGGTTGGTGCTGGGCCTTCTTTAGTCTGCAGGTTATCTCTGAAGCTTGCCTCGTCTTGGCTGGTGTCAGAGTTGATTGCCACAGGGAAGGAATCCATGATGTTGATGGAGAAGAGCAGTGCAAAACCAGTCTGGGGAGGGAAGACCTGAGCTGAGATGAATGGCTGGTCCACTGAGATTTGACCATATGCTGTCCTCCTTGTTTCTCTCCAAATGCCCCTAATATTTGAGAAGATGGAGGATGTTTTAAAAGGGGGCTGATTTGTTTCAAATGTGGGATGCAGCAGCTTTACAAAGGTGACCCAGAGCCGTTTTGACGCTCTGTGAGCAGCATTGATGCTTTCTGAGCATGCAGTGACTTGGGGCAGGATACTGCACTTCCTGAAAGCTAAGCCAGAGTAAAGTCATCTTAGCCTCAAT